GTGGATAGACATGTGTTACTGGACCAGCAGCACAGATTTAAGGGTGGTGTTGGTGCTAATTTGTTGCACTGATTCTCAAATCTTCCAGAAAACAAGCTTGAATTCAATCTTAAGAGAGAGAAACTTTGATGGTGTTGGGCTGGCTTTACTATCCTGGGAGCATGGTTTATTTATGCTGAGATTGCTTGTGGAATAGATATAGTCATAAATGGATGAGAGAAGGCAATTTTTAAATCTAGCATTAGAATGTATTGGTTTGAGGTTGTTCCTCTTTAATTTCAGTGGGTTTTTTGTTAGTGTTTTGCAGACCAGAAAGACTTTACAGACCTTCTGTGCCTCTGGTGGTTGTTCATTGATTCTTTGCATACAGCTTGCTTTTCAAATGTGGCAATCCCTGGCAGACCATCTCTGTTTTTCTTTAGCAAATTATATTCTACTGTTGCTCATGCTAGTTTTTGTTGACTTTTTCAGAAAATGTATTCCTTTAGAATCATGGGCCTACCTTGCTCCAGTTCAGAATGACTTAATTTTTTTAATTGACAGCAGCAAGCTTACCTGTGTCCAGGTCAGATAATGTGGTAAAGCATAGCTGCTGGCTGAAGCAACTTTTTGTTCTTTCTCCATACTGCAGAGCTGTGACAGTAGCTCACCTGCTCCAAAAGTCACTGGCACTTGTGTGTTTCAGAGAGGGCAATCTCTTTGTTAGTCTTGTTTTCCCAAGTAAAAAAGTGACTTTTCCTCAAGCTGTCCCTTTGAGTAGCTCTGGTGGTGCTGCATGAGCAGAAAGATGGACTTTGTGCTGCAGCAAACTGACAGAATCATGTGTTTTGTAGCTTGTGAAGGAAGCAGTAGGAGGAGGTTTCATCAAGACAGGTGGCAGAAAATGAGTCTCTTAAGGACTGAGCTCCCCTTAGGAGTCAGAGCAGTGTTGGTCTGCTCGTGCTAATCTCACACCCAGAGCTAAGGCAGGAGGGAGGGAAGGGGGTGAGTGCAGACAGAGACACCAAAGCTGGGACAAGCAACAGGAAATATTCTGTATTTTTGGATTTTGTGGATAAAAAAGTCTGCCTGAGCCTGTGTAACCCTAGTTTTCTCAAGGTCACTCAGGGCCCAGTGGTGGCTTTGTTCTCTTCGAGGTCTTCTCTGTCTTTTGGGTGCAGCTTTCTCTTCAGTGCTGCTGCTCACTGGGTCCTGCAGCTCGTCCTGCCCTTGGTGCAGTCTGCCACGTGCCAAAGCAGATGGATGCAAAGCAATCACCAGGGATGCCCTGGTACCTTGTAGGATGAGATGTGTAGGGATTGTGGTGAGAGGTGTGTAGAGGGATGGGATTTACTCTGGACATGTCAGTCTGCAGCCTGGCAAAGGTATTGGAGAGTTTTATTTTGATGTCACTGCAAAAGGTCCTCTGGAGAAGCCCTTCAGCAGTGTCAGCATATACCTGTTGAAGACAGAGTTGCTGGGAGCTGCAGCTTTTCTGCCCTGTACTGGGTTTCTGCTTCAGCACTGCCTGCTGGGTGGTATTTGGGGTGGGGATAAATTCTGTATGAGCAGAGTCCAAGAAATAGAGTGAATAATGTGAATTAAGTATTACACTATATGCTGGTAGCTCAGCTTTACAGCTGTGCCTTGTGAAGAAGCTGTGAATCAAATGGTCCATGATGTTCTTAAGTGGATGTGAGGAGGTAGGCTTGGTTTGAAGTGACAAAGGCAAGGAAATTAATTAGCTTAAGGAAATTATCTCCTTTTCCATGGGGAATTAAGGTGGAATATCCAGTAATGCACTTACACAATAGTAACTTTTAGCAGGTGCCTTTAAAAGGACACCTGTCCTTTTTAAGCAACATCTTAGGAGCTTTCTAGTTTATTGAAACTTCTTTTATCTGCTGTTACATTAAGTGAATATTCTTGTTTCTGTTACCATGGACAGATTTGAGTGAACCACAGGTGGATTTGGCTGAATGGCTCTGAAGCATCCCTGTGTTCCCCTAGTGTTTGGTAACACCAGAACCCGTGCTTGCCTCACAGGTTTGCAATAGATCTTAAAGCCTTTTATATTATATTTATCTCATTAAAATACAGTACTGATAAGTATATCAATACAGTCTTACATGGGTTGTGTCACACAGAAAGGGACTGGGTTGATGACACAGATCATTCCCATCTTGTTCTTTCTTTAGGTACAACTCTAAGCCTCTTACATCTGTAATGACAGGCAGAAAACACAAGACAGCATGGAGGAAAAGGTGACAAATCAGAAAAGGAAAATAAACCTTCCCAGGAAGAATGAGTGTTCAGCCAAACCATATATAAGTGGCACAGGAAAGAGAGTAAGGTTGTAGCAAACAAAAACAATTAGTCAAGGATCATTAATTTCGACACTTTTTTTTTAGCTTGTTCTCATTTCTGAGAAAAATCAACATTATAATTGACCCAATTTACTGGTTTTTTTAAAATTTTATTTATTTAATAGTATTTTACTGATCAAAATACAAATACTTTTATTAGGAGGAGATAGCAAGCTAACATACTGATTTTTAGATCTAGAAACTGCAATTCTACTTTCCGTACTTAAAATAAGAATTCCTTCATTCCTTGCAGTCTCTAAGGCTTTCTCACAGTTTCAGGATTGAACAGAAGACATCTGGTGCTTGAGAGAGGCTGTTGTGCCTTGAGGGACTAAATGAGGTGCAGTGCTGGCGTACAGCTTGATTTTGGGTTTGTGTGATGGTACAGGGAGCTGTTGAGGGTGAATGCACATCTTGTGTGTGGGGAAGTTTAATATGGCAATAGCTACCTTGCTTTAGCTTCACAAGAATAAGATGGTGGTTATTTTTTGTCCTCGACTTCAGTGTTAGATGTGTGACTGCTGAGCATCAATAGTGTCAACTAGTTTTGTCCTAAAATGTTTAGGAATATCTGACAGTGATGTAACTTCATGTGTTGGAATTGAAGCTTGATCCATACAAAGTGAATCGATGTGATTTTCACCTGTGCTGATTGTTGGCTGCACTGCAGCCATCCCAAACCAGGTACCCACAGGTCTGGAATGGAAACTGCAGGCATCAGACTTAAGTCCTACTACTTCTGGTTTCCAAATATGAGTCCTACCTTTCAGCAGGGTGGGCATCACTCAGTAGAGTTTCCAAGGAGTTGGTGCCGTGGTTTTAGGGTGGTTTTTCTTCAACATAACTTCAGCCTCTATTAGGGGATTTTATTTGATGTCTGGATCAACTCCAGGTTAGGCTGGTATGCAGCAATTATGGATGTGCAATCAATACCTTTTCACTTGTAAAGAACTAGTTTTAAGTTGTTTGGGAGGTGAGTGTGGGGTTAGTTTTGGGTTTTTTTTTTCCTTAATCTGTTGTACTTGGGTGATTTTTTAATTTGCTATGTGTTTTCCCAGAGGAGTGGCCACACTGGGTAAACTCCTCCAGACTGAGGTATGTACTGCAAGTATCAGTGGAGAGCCCATGATGGTGACTGACACCAGACTGCAGGTCTCTTTGGAGCAGTTGAAACAATAGTGATGTGGCAACAAGACTTTGAATTTTTATGTTGGTGTGCAGGCTTGGTGACTTTGATGTTGACTATACTGCCTAGATGTCTGATTGTGAAATAAGGGTGTTTAAAGCTGTGGTAGCAGTTGTTCTTGGTAGTTGAATTTACCACCCTGAAAACACAGATGCTACCTGCTGTTAGGCCATTGATCTGACAAAAGAGATTTGCTCTTCTGTAAGTCTGGCCAAATCTGTATGACCTTAATACTTCCAACCTAGAGTCTGAACCCATTTCAGTTCCCATTTGTATGAGTAAAGCTCAGAGGCCTCAAATACAAAAAGAGCTTTCTTGTCCAACTGTGCACAGAAAGCTGGGCCTGGGAGTATCCTCTGTGGAGATCTTGGGAATGTGTGTTTTGCTTCTCTTAGGAATTTGTTAAATCTTACACAGGTGTGTGAGTAATTGACAGCTAAAGGAAACCAAAACTAGAATTTCATACCTTTCTAGGCTTGCAGTGCAATTTAAACCTGTAACTCCAAGGTTCCTGGACAGGGATTGCAAAGAGGGACTGGTGGCTGACAGATGTACATGTTAAGCAAGTATCCTTTGCTTGAAGTGAACTCAGGTCTCAAAATATAATGTAGCAGGGTTTGAGTGCAGCATTTTTGTGGTTTGAATTTTAGCACAATTCTTCAGACTTTCAGAGAGAGATCAGGATAAATAAAAATGAATTTGCTTCCTTGAAAAATGTAATGTCACAGCCATCTGTCTAGACTGCTGTGCATGCTCTGTGCTTAACCCCTCTGGAATAGAGGGACTTGTGTTCAGAAGTGTGGGATGCCTTCAGCACCCTCACTAGGAACTGCAGGTTCTCACCACTATGAAAAATCATGGTTTGTATCTTGAAGTCATCACAGGTTCAAAGATAAATGTAGAGTCTACTTCAGCCTCATTGACAGAAGAGGATGGGCAGTAAGCTTCTGTTGAGCAACGAGCTAGTGATTTAATTCTTGTTGTGTGCCATTGACTGGACACTCTTAGAATGGCCTGTGGCTAGTGAGGTACCTGAGGAGCTAAATACATGAATTAGCTGGTGTAAGCCACTTGCAGACAATCCATGTTAACAGGTCAGTTGTTTACAGCAAAGGAGATCAAGTTGAAACAGTGAGCACTTGCCAGCTTGTTCAGATGGTGTAACTTCTGAAATATGTGAAGACAAGGTGGTGACACTTGGTTTTGTTCTTTTTCTCCACTTTTGTACATGAGATGTGACCTTACACTTAAATAGCACTACAAACCAAATCTATAATTGGAAATTAAACCATTCAGTATCCAAGACTTTTATTTACAAGTCTGGGATATAGAGGTGAGTTTGTCCTACTTATCTCAAAGAAAAATTCAGGCTAGTTGAGAGGATCTGTGTTTCTCGATGCTAATACTCAAGCCAAGTGTTACACTTATTCCTGTGGTCTTTCTGATGATTTTGTTTGCTTGTTTTGTAGTCACTGGCTCTGGTTGAGGATTCAGAATGGGAGACAAGCCTATCTGGGAGCAGATTGGATCCAGCTTTGTACAACATTACTACCAGCTTTTTGATGCAGACAGGACTCAGTTAGGAGCAATATATGTAAGTATCCCCAGTATCCCCAGAAAGGGAGCTGGGACTCTGTCCCGTTATCTGTCTGGAATTCCCTGTTTTGATGTGTGAGAATACACAGGGTGGGATAGTGGGCTTTATCCTGACTCCAGAATGCCAGTCAGTGCAATCACACTCACTTTTATTTATTGCTTTTCTTTTATGTCTCACTTCTATTTTGAGCTTTGTTTGCGTTTTAGGCAGTCATACTCACAAAAGCCCTGTTTAGCTGTAGGCAGTGATTTGTTTTGGAGGGGCTTGATGATGATCCTGTGATGAAGTGCTCTGTAAAAGCAAACATTCTAGTCTTAGTTTGCCATTAATTTACAGGCATGGATTTGCTTGGATCCCTCTTGAAGTGGGATGTAATTTAAGTCCTACCCTGTGTTTAGCAGTTCTTGCAGGTGTTTCTTGGACCTCATTCTGTATTAATCCTCTGAACAGTAAAATAGAGTTACAATTTTAAATCCAGTTTAAAATGTAGAATAACATGTTAAATAACTGCAAATTTAGTTTGAATTTCCTCAAACATTAAGTTGGTTTTTTTTACTTCTTATTTGGGGTCAAGTAGGCTTGGATAACAGAATTGAAAACTGTAATTCACAAATGCAAGGTACATCAGCTTTTAGTTTTGGGGGAAGATTCCTCCAGAGCATGCAAAGTGCTCTGTGTGTGGAGCTGATTGCTGATGGTGAGGAATGCTGCTGCATGGCTGAGGAGTTGCAGCAAGACATTCAAGGCTGACAAGTCTTCCAGCAGCATATCCTGTTTTTCTGGCTGGTTTTTCATCTGCTGGATGAGCTGAAGTTTGAGCAAGCTGCTGAGGATTGAAATGGTTCAACACCTGACACCCCTCTTTATACCTCAGCAATATCCAGCAGCACTGATACCATTTGTTCTTGGGATTGTTGTGTACTTGCTGCATGCCACATTGTTGGTTTGCTTTGCCCAAGAAGCTGTGTACAGAGTCCTAGAGAGAGAAAACCAAGCAGTTTGTGTTCCAAGCACAGCTCTAAATATGAAGGCTCTTAGTAGTTTGTATTTTATTCCAAAGTACGTTCAGTCCTCAAAGTAGTGCTAAGTACAGAGTAATTTAAATTCCTGGATTTAGAGCCTTCCATACAGTGAACTCCTGGCTTTTTTTCACCCTTAGGGTCTTTCTGCCTTCCATCATTCAATGAAGAGTCCTGTGCACATGTAATTGGGAGCATTATTATGCAGGTCACTGATGTGTGTTGTTTTGTGCAGCTCCTGAACTGTGGAGAAAACACACCCTGTTTTGTGTTGCTGGTAGACTTATGATACTGAAGTATAGTGTATTTCATTTTTAGTTGATTGTTCCAAACTTCTTCAATTGATTTTGCTGGTTTCTTTCTATTTTCTATTTCTTTCCCTTTGAGGTAGTTTTCAAATAGCTGGATTCTGAGGATTTCTGCTAAATACATAAAGTCTCTTATCAGGATTGCTTAAGGGCTACCTAAGTTGATGACATTTTTCTTTTTCCCCCAGATTGATGCATCATGCCTTACGTGGGAAGGACAGCAGTTCCAGGGCAAAGCAGCCATTGTTGAAAAACTCACTGTAAGTCTGTAATCCTTACTGAATGTTTTGGGAAGCAGTTATGAAGACCAGAAGAGATTGCTTCTGAAAAATTGAACTAGACTTAAGCAGTTCAAAAATCTTGAACTTGTGCTTCCAGCCTAGGTCTTCAAGAAATATTATGAATTACTGCTGTCTAGTGGGTTATTCCACTGATGGCTCTAATGTTGGCATGTTCATTGACTCCATAGTTTGCAAGGTTACTTTGTGACTGCACTTGTATTTGACATTATTGATTTATTTTTTTTAAAAGGTCTAATGCATAAGCTGCCTCTGATCTAGAGGAGTGAAAGGTGCCTTTGATCTTTTAAGGCATGCCAAGGAAGAAGCAATAGCAAACCTGTTACTTGGATCTGTCTGTGATAAAGGCTAGACACATTACAGCAAGGAACAACTTGTTTTCTGATACCTAAACTGCAAATAAGTTCTATAGTGGAGAAGCTGACTTATCCTCAATGCAGATTTGTCAGCAGTTCAGATGTGAGCAGGTATGGTTCAGGACTTTGAAACGTGCTTCCTCTTCAGCAAGTGAGAGGACACTGGAATTATATGTTCATTTAGTTAAAAGAAAATACTTTCTATCTTCTAGAGTAAATCCATGCTTCTGTTATAAAACTGGGGGTACCTGCAAGCTGTCATGAGACTAGAAAGTTTGTTTCTCTTGTGAGATATGCAGAGGACATGCTTTTTAGGTCACCAGACAGTCTGCTCTGAGTATGGTATTTCAGACATTTTTATTACACATTGAGAAGAAAAATAATTGTAACTTGACACTTGGCTTGTTGCACAGCTACTGTTCCTGTGTTTTGGAATTGCTTCTCTTGCCTAAGGCATCTTTAACTGTAAAGACTGAGCTCGGCCCTCAGGTCTGTGATTTAGGTACCTGGGCTGCCTTTGAGAAGGCTGCACATCTCAGAAACAGCAGTGACTGCTTGCTTGTAGGTGAGGAGATAGCCAAGCTCCAGGGTTGCTTGTTTGTGTACTCAGTGTTCTTCAGACTTTTGGGCTTGCAGCCACTTAGATACCCAACCAGCCAAGCATTTGCTTGGCCACAGTGTCTGATTGCTGCCTTGGATTCAGCCCAGTGCAGATCCAGCCCCTTTCCCACTCTGACATAGCTCATCTTTACCTTCCCTGTTGCTGGTGCAAGGTGGACTTTCTGGATTTATGTGCCTGCTGCAGTTGTAATTGGTGACTGAAGACACACTACTCTGCTTTAGGGAATTTTTTTCTGGCTTGCATCCATCTGCTTAAAGTAAGGAGGAAATGCACCAAAGTTCCTCCGTGCCCTTCCAGCGCCGTGGCTCGTTATGGGCTGTATCAGCTTACAGTGACTCTAAAGTCGTTCAGCATTCCTCTGTCAGCACTCAGCTGCCTGGGCTCCTGTTGCTGTGTCAGCTTTATGTGCTCACCTACTCTGCTTCTGGAGCTGCTTAGTCAGTTCAGCACAGCCCTGAAAGTTTGATACCGAAATTCTTTTGCACTTGTGCAGTCTTGTGTCCTTCAGTGCCTGGCTGCTGAACTGATGTAAGCACAAAGAGGTGGCATTTTCTTTTAGATCAAGTCCTTTGCTGTGTGACAGCAATGGTATGGCACCTTTTTAGTATGCTAATATAGTATGGCAAGGTTGTATGAGCATTGCTCTGCAGGCCCAGCACATCTGTACCTTGCTACTGCGTGGGAGTTGACACTTGTTCCTTCTGTCCTAATTGGTGCTGGACTTGTTTAACAGAGTGCCTGTGCTAATTAGGGGCAGCCTGATTTACATTGAGCATTTGAGATAACAATTACATAGTTCTATGAACATACTGGACCAAGGAGGAAGCTGAGACAGGTATTCTTGCTGCCAGCTGTGAGTTTGTGCTACTCAACTTTATTCTTGCCTAATTTCTCTTACCTGACTTCAAGGAGATTCCATAGTTTTCATAGTGAAAGACCAGTCAATTTCTAATGTCAAAGGATGGTAAAAACCTTTCTTTTTGTGTGGTTGCATGCTTTTTAGACACTTTTATTGTACTTTTCACAGCACAAAATCCTTCACTCCAGTACAGGTGCATGTCTATAAGTAGCTGTCCTTTTGAGGTAGCCTCTGCCTATCTTAAAAATCAGTGATCTTTTCTGTAACCTCTTCTCCTACTTTTTCCAGTGGGATTTCTCCCAGTGCATCACATGAGTAGCTCACTAGGCTGGCCAGCTATTTGGGGTCCTTTCCTCTGAAGAGGACAATCATAAAATCTTTAAGGTTGGAAAAGCTGTCCAAGATCAAGTCCAACCTTTGACTGAACACCACCTTGTTAACTAAATCATAGCACTAAGTGCCATGTCCAGTTCTTTCTTGAAAACTTCCAGTGGTGCTGACTTCACCACTTCCCTGACAGCCCATTGCAATGCTTAACCTTTTCAGTCAAGAAGTTCTTCCTGATGTTCAACCTGAACCTCCTCTGATGCAGTTTGAGGCCATTTTCTCTTGTCCTGTGGAATCAGGTACTTGAAACAGCCACTGTGTTACTCAGCCTTGTCTTTGTTCCTTGTTTTGCAGAGCTCTTGATTTCCAAAGCCTTTCCTTCCTCCCTGGAATGAATTGCATTCATTCCTCTTCATCCCTCTGCCTTTTCAAGAGAATCCTTTTGCAGGGCTTGTTCAACAAGAAGCTCTTGTGCTGAGGTGTGACTCTTGGAGTACTCTTTTGTAAAAGCAACTTCCCAGCCTACGCTTGTGCAGGCTGTGTGGGCATTTTGCACGTTCAAGTTCAGGATGGTGACCCTGGAAAACAGTCTGCTGGTCATTCAGAAAGGAAGGCTCTGGATTTGTGTTGTTACTAAGTGTCTGTTCCATGCTACAAAGCAGTGGGTTCACTTTGCACTTGGAGTTGGTTGGGATTGCACTCCAGCCAAGAGGAAACACTGCCGGCTTTATTAAAGGGTGCTCTTGAATAGTGTCCTTCTAATTAAAGGGCTGCTTCCTGCACTTCATTTGCTTCCTCAGATCCTGGTCCTTCCACAGTTGCTGTGTTCTCGGTCATCCATGGATTTTGCTTCCTGGAATTCTTCCTAGAGCCTTAGGCTTGTAGAGCCAACACTGTACTTCCTATCTGCTACAGCAGGACTCATGTCATGTCTCTCTACCTAGGCCTTCTAGGAAGTCTTTGAGGCTCCTTCCACTAGAGGGAAATGCAGAACTTGTTGAAGTATGCATTTGGATCTGTTTCAACCTGCTTCCAAATCAGGGAGATGCAGCAAAGGCATCCAAGTGCCACCTGAGGTTTGAATGGCCACGTGCTGCCATTCTGTGCAGCTCCTGGACTTCGAGTATCTGCCACATGGTCACCCAGAACTCCATCCATGCTGAACTGCCACTAAAGCAGCCAGCAATAATGCAGCTTTTGGGAGAACAGTCCCAAAATTGCATTTGTGTGACAGGACTCTAGATCTCCCAGGTGTTTCACGTTCACTGCTTGGAATTGTCTGTGCTGGAATGTGAATGTGGTCTAAGTTGAAAGACAGGAATTACTCTCCAATGCCTGGTGTTTCTCAAGGTGTATTCCTTGCACACATACCTCCAGATATATTGATGTTGGCTACCTGAGTGTCAGGGGAATTAAAAAGGGCAAGAGTGGATATGTAGATTTCAAGTCTTGGAGATTTCATCCACTTTTCCTTTCCATTCATAGCCACTTTAACAAAGAAACAAATTTGGAGTTGTCTGGTAAACATCAAATATTAGATGATAAAATCTTTTAACACAGTTCAGAGCAGAGGTTTTTTTTCCTTCATCATAAGAATTTTGAGCTTACAGATGATGTGAAGCCTTCAGGCAGTGCAATTAGAGTAGGAAAAGGTACCATTTACTGTGTATGGTGACATAATTTCTCTTTTGGTGCTTGAAAAACACATCTCCTAAAATTTACCCTGCATGGGTAGTGCCCTCATTTGCAACAGTTCTCTGTGCAGTACTGCCACTATAGTCTAACACTTCATAATGTTGGATTTGCTCAGTCTTTGTTTTGTAAGTTAAATAATTCTGTTACTGTACATTTCCTTATTTTGATTTCTTTTCATTGCAGAGCCTCCCTTTCCAAAAAATACAACACAGCATCACAGCACAAGACCACCAACCTACACCTGATAGCTGTATACTCAGTATGGTAGTGGGACAGCTTAAGGTAAACTCTTTCCATTACAAGTTCATGAGTGCTTTTGTCTTAGATTTTTGCAGGATTCTAAACCATCTGATTTCTGAATACATTTAAATGCTTTCTTGGGTGGGGAAGGAGCAGGGATAAGCTTGCATTGGGATATTGCTCCTCTGCTGCTTGAGACTTGTCAATAAATGCTCCTTCCTTCAGATACCTAGTTCTAGGTAAACCACCTGTAATTTGGCAATCATGTTCTGCCAAGCAAAGTATTGTGGATTTTACTGTGCAGACAAATACCATGTGGGTTCTAGAGGCATCAGTATTTCCCTTACCCTGATGCAGTGAGGTTTTGGTGTCCTCTGTTGCATTTAAAAGCATTGTCACAGTGTTCTTGGACAATTTAAGCACATCTAGTTTAACATCCTCCTTGATGTAATGTTTGCATTGAGCTCTGATTTAGCAGACTTCATTTTGTTAACTGACCACCCTTCAGGGAGTCCATACATTTTTTTACTGTCACAGGACACAAGAATATAATCCTGGTGTTAGTACAGTCCAGTACCTCTGTAATCAAAACTGATTCAGCAATGGGAGTGCCTCTGAGATCAAACACTTATTGTTGAAACAGCTGCTTCTTGTGAAGAATCAGGTTATTTTTCAGGCTTAGTATGACCATATTGCTGTGTGAGTGATACTACTGAACTGTGTAAACTTACCCAGTCTGCCAATACACCAGGGCCACATACTTGTAAATTAATGAAGCTGCTTATGAATGAAAGACATTGTCCTGGAATTTGCAGAAATACTCTGTACATCAAATCAGCTGCAGGCAGAACTTGCTCACAGTGGGTGGTATTAGTTTAAAAAATGTGAAATTATGTAGCAGTAGTTAAGTTATCAGAGTTCATTTGGTGCAGCCATGCTGTGAAGTCAGGCCTCTAATGCCAACCAGTCTTTAGAGTTACCTGCACCCAGATTGTTTTAAAATAGCTGTTTAGATTTCCTTTTCCTGCTCACTTGATGGCACTTCTACTATCAAAGCATTCAAACTTCCACTGACACTGTACTTTTTACTAAGCAGACATAGGACTGAATGTTTGAATCTGCTTGCTAAGCTGTTCTCTTTGTTCTGGGCTGGGCAGCTGAGAAGAGCAGTGCCCAGTGTAATGCATCCACTGCTAAACCTAACATAGGAAGCTTTGGCTCTCATTAAAGTTGCTCCTGCTTCCTAAGCTGCAAGTTGGATTCCAGCTTGTTTGTTGTTCAGTCCCAGCTGCACACACTCTGTGGAAAAGCAGCCACACGTGGCCATGGAAAGCACTGAATTACAGGACAGACATGCTGATCTCCTGCCTTGCTCTTGGGTGTGCACAAAATTCTGTGATGTGATCAAGACCTTCGACTCAATGTCTTGGGCCAGTCACATCTGCACCTGGTTTTGCACAGTCATGTTTTAAGGTTATTGCATAATTATCAAGCAGATTGAAGCTTACAGCCAGTGATTGTTTTGGATCCTGTGGCAAGATACCATATTCTAAAATATTCTAAAAGTTATTGGGTTTTCTCAAACCATAATCCATTAATATGGAGGGACTGTAAATTCAGTCTGGGAGCTTTCCATAAATACCATGACTTGGAGTAGTATTTTCTGATGTATTTTTTTAACCTCTGAGTGATTTCAGCAAGCTGAAACATTCTAAAAGTTACTGGGTTTTCTCAAACCATAATCCATTAATATGGAGGGACTGTAAATTCAGTCTGGGAGCTTTCCATAAATACCATGACTTGGAGTAGTATTTTCAGATTTTTTTTTTAACCTCTGAGTAATTTTAGCAAGCTGAAGTTACTCAGTATAATTTGGGGATCATGTGTTAGAGCATCCAGGTATTTGGAGAGAAAATACTGGGTTAAAGTATGCCTACTGTCATGATCAAATGCAACTTGCTTGTGAATTTTTAGTAAGTGAGAAAAAGTTTTTCCACTCTTCACATTTATGTGTCTCAAACCTTAGCTTTAAAAATCACATCTTAATCCCTGGGAATGCTGCTTCTCACAGAACAAGTGTCCAGAAAGTCAAAGTCAACTCAACTTCATACTTCTGCCCTGTGCAATATTTACAGAGGTGGACAAATGAAATCTCAGGAACAGTCTGTGGCATGAATGAACCTGGCTGTCTTACATAGTGAATGCTTTTCTCTCATGCCAATTCACACACGTTGACAGCCGTTCTGCTGCATCTCGGTGCTGCTGTGTACAGTCACTGAGAACAGCTGGGTGCAGGTGGTGCATTCCAACAAGTGGCTCATGTAGCTCCAGCTGAGCAGGGAACACTATAACAGGCAAACGTGGGGCTGCATACTCACTGTTATTTAAAGCTGCCTTCTCAGTGATGTGGCTGCTCACCCTGCATATATTGCTCTCAAGGAGAGCTGTAAGAGAATTTTGCACAACGAAGGGCACTTCCAAGACCACCAGTAGCATGCTAATATGCCACCATGAACTATAAATAAATTCTTTTAAAACCAACCTTTTGCATCAGAATAATCACCTGCACTGAGGGGCTGGGGCACAACAGCTTCTTTGAGAAAATGCTGCAGAGTAGCAGAGCATCTAAGTAGGTGACTGTCACTAGCAGGGATCTGACTGGCTGGCTAAAGCAGTGCAGTAATTGCTTTCAAAGATCCTCTTTAATGGGTGCTGATAGTATTAATGTTTGGGTGGGGTTATCCTTTTGTAGAGGTATAATAAATATACATCCACTTATTCTAATAATAATGGTTTTTATTGCTGTTCATTGCCTGAGTGCTGCTTGCTTGCTTCAACTAGGAAGAGGGAGCATCAGTTCAAGCCTTTAGGAGTGAATTCCTTTTGGTGTGACCCTGCTTTGCCAATATTCATCCAGAATGTCACCCAGTATCTTCAGTGTGCTTCACCTAGTAATGTATTTCTCCTGTCATGCTCAGGCAGATGATGACCAAGTTCTAGGCTTCCACCAAACCTTTTTGTTGAAAAATTTTCAAGGTGCCTGGGTGTGCACCAACGAAGTCTTCAGGCTAGCCCTCCACAACGTTTAACCCTCTGCCTTCCCCATCTTCCAGTCCTCGCTGTCCTGGCTGAGTAAGGAGTGCTCTCTTCTGTCCCTTGAGCTGGGCTGAGAAGCATGGCTGTGGCTTGTGTGTTCTCAGAGCCATGTGGCAGATCTGTGGCTCTCCCCAGAGTGTGATTTTTGAAGTGATCATGCAGAATTAATTGTGAATAACTAATTGTTATGCGGTGTTTCCTAGTCTTAAAAGGAAAAGGAAATTTGCAATTAAAATCACTGGGTATTTTTGTAATGCATGCTGAACACTTAAAGCATTGCTTAAAGCCTGTTAAATAAGGCTTAACATCTGAAAAAACCTGCAGTCTCAAGTAATTATCCTTTCCTTTGAGGTAAGGGTTGTTGCAACCCTGCAGTTCAATCAATAATTGCTGGGGGTGCTGGTGAAGAAGTAAAACGCTCTCTGACCAGGCAAGAGGAGGAAAATTGTGTAGCTAAACCTGAAATGTAAAGCAGTGTTGCATCTGAAACTCTGACATGACTCACTGCTCTGTGAGCTGAGGACTTCCTTTTGAGCCTCCAGGTCAGAAAGGATGTAGAAAAACTGAGAGGTCAAAAAGCTGCCAAGATTGTGGGCGATGAAGAGCTTGTGGAACTGGGAGAGGAGCTGGCTAAGGGCATCTGCCTGAAATGTCAGTGAAAAGTAATTGAGTACTTCCAACAACCTGAAAGCAAACTCTTCTCAGTGGTGCCAGACAGTGTAACAAGGGACAGTGGTTAGAAACCACATAACTGGGAAGGTACAGATGGGACACAAGGGAAGATTTTCATGAGAAGACTGAAAGCCTGGGTGCCTGGACACCTTGTGAAACATCTGTTCTGTGAGAATTTGAAGACTCTGCTAGACACGGCTGATGCAGTGAAAGATGTCCCTGCCCAGGACAGGAGGACTGGATTAGATGATCTCTAAAGGTCCCTTCTGTGGTTCTGTGACACAGAGCTGCTGTAGTCTGTGCTCATGCTGAGCAAAAGGCTGGCCTGGAAATCAGGATTCTTTCAGTCTGATTCTGGGACTTGTTTAATTTTTGTTTTAATTCAATGATGTCATAGAAGAATTTGAACTGCACAAAGGAAAGTTTTATAGGAGGACTAAAGCCCCTTGTGTTTTGAGCCTGGGCTCACATGTAGAATGCAAATCCTGAGTTGGACATGCCTGAATTTGGAGTGAAAAGTAAAGACAGAGTTTCAGTGGTGTTATCTGAGCTGGGATGAAGATCTAAACTAAAATGGAATAGGATCAGTCTGTGTTTTCTGTGGCATCTTGTGAGCCTTTGCTATGTGCTAATATTACGTAGTCAAAATTGGGGAATGAACTATAAAGTATATACTTCACCTTCAATATAGTCTAGGATTTTCCTTATTTTTAAAGTATACTGCTCCTCTATGCTATGAAGGGATAACATGAAAGGAATAAAGAAAACAATAATGTGTGACTTCATTGTGGGAATTTGCTGTCTGTACCACACCAAACATTTTGGGGAGAATTCCCTTTTAGTCCTTCTTCATGTGTCCAGCCCTGAATTTCTTAAGAAAGGAGGATATTCTCTGTAAGCCAAAGCATCAAGAGCTGCAGTGCTCTTACCAGAAATCAAGGAGACCTACACTAAAGCTTGTCTGGCAATGGTATTTTTTTTTCCAGAGGTATATTTTAAAGCATACTCATGTGAGTAATGACAAGCTCAAATTTGGTGTAAAAAGTACTTATGCAAGTTGCAGTAGATGCCTCAGTGACCTGAACAAGGAGGGCAGCTGGGAGTTGTGAACCTGCCAGCTCCCCAGCAGTGGTGAGGCTCTCCTGGCATGGGCTTCACTGGACACCCAGGAGAAGCTGGAAAAGGCACAAACCCACGGGCTTCAGTGCACAGGCCACCCCTACAGCACAGAAATGTGAGCCTCTCTTCTGGGCACGTGTAGTAGATAACACTTCCTTTGGAATACCTGCCATGGCTGCTGTGGCACGTCCTGGACGGCTGCTCCAGCCCAGCAGAACTGCTGCTCACACTACGGGGCTCCTTCCTGGGAGCCTCTGCCTCAAGCAAAGTCAGGGTGTACTGAGGGAAAGCTGCCTGTTTGTCTGCTGGACAGTGACTGCTGCCACTTGTCGTGCTTTAAGGATTTTTCTCACTCAGTCACATATTGAACACTGACTTGCTCGTATTCCTGGCCTCTTGTTGCCTTCCTAATTTCTGGCTGTAGTAGTTTCCTCATTCACTTTCTTCTTCATGGTTTTATAGTAATTTATCTTGCCTGTTCTCCCCATTCTCATTATGTTTTTTCAAGCTGAGAAGTTATACTCAATTTACTTTCTTCAGTAGGAAAGCATCCTGTAGCTGGATCATTTTTCTTGTCCTTTTATGACTTTACTGTAGCATTTTATTTTTTTCACTTACAAGAAATGCATGCAGGATTTGATATGTGGGTGCTCTTTGCCTACTTATGCGTTTGCTGACTTCTGGGTTTTGGTTCTTTGTTCTTCCCTAACATCTGCTAACCCTGTGCTTGCCTTGATAGCTTTAGGCTCTCAGCTGGTTTAATAAATAAATATCTATTATTATTTTAGTATCACTTTCATGAGGGGCCAGTCTATAGCTCACTTACTCTATGAATTAGCATACATTTACAGAAACTGCACTTCATGTACACCACTTAACTTCCCAGGCAGTTGTCACTGTGAAATCCTTGCAGTGGTTTTTGGATCTGAATGCTTCCTTTCCACTCACCTGATGCCAGCAGTGTTCTGGCACACTTGCTGTTCTCTGATAAAACTGATGTCCTTTGCAAGTTGGTCCTCAAAGCTGACTTGTTGCACAGTCCATGAATACTTTTTTAAAGTAAAGTTTCTTTTTTGTTTATTCTGTAGTCTGCTTTGCTCTTCAGACTTTTCACTTGTTCTCAGGAACAGCAGCAGGGCAGTGCCAGTGATCATTCAGTGCTTTGACAGCCTCTTTCATGAGCTGCTCTGGCTGCTGCTTTTCAAGCCTCTTTTTTATAAATTTCCTCCCTTTTCTGAAGCTGAATAGTCATGCGTTGAAAAAATAAAGCTTAAAATCCTCCAAAAATGCTGAATTGAACACACTACAGGCACCATCAGGAGCTTGTTTTGTGGTTGGGCCCGTGTGCTGTTCAGATTAAATCCTGTTGTGTGATTTCCAGCTGATTGATGTGGGAATCATTTCTGATATTTTGAGGACTTAATCCCTGTACAATGTCTCTGAGAAGATGAGTAAATAAACATTAAGTGGGAGTACTAGTCTGCTTTTTAAGTAATATTTTCTAAATTATTTTCTGCTTTTGTAGTAATATGGTAAATACCCAGACACAGTGTCAGGCAGGAGGGGAGGCACTGCTGCAGCATTCCCTGTGCTTAGAACACATTGGCACAGCTGCAGTGAATGCTCTGCTCCCTTCCAGCTGGTGCTGGACACTGGACGTGGGAAGTGCTGTGTTTCTGGCAAGGCTTTCAAAGCCCAGAGCACCTGGATCATCCAGGCAACGTGTTGATACCAACTCTACAGAAACTCCCTTCTGCCATCCACCCAAAGTCCAGCAGTTAAAAACTGAACCAATTTCTTTTAAGCTTAATTCCTGGGCTAGGCATTTGTGATTCAACACTGAGGCAGGCATGTTCCATCAGTGTGGAGAGGGACATGTCAGCAAGTGTTCCACAAAACCCCAGCTTCAGATGCTGTTGCAGGATTTCCATGTCTCTGGGCCCGGGTGTTTGTCTGCCAAGCCCCTCAGAACAGACCTCTGGTGGAACTGGTGTCCCCTGGGGTACTGCACATCTTACAGCATGTAATGTCACTGTTAACGTTAGCTTCAAGTTGTCTCATCATGGGTTTTGGAATAAGTTTCTCAAAAAAATGAGTGTTTTGAACCTTTTTCCCCCCCTCTCTTTCTACAGGCTGATGAAGATCCTATCATGGGATTCCACCAGATATTTCTATTAAAGAACATCAACGATGCCTGGGTTTGCACCAATGACATGTTCAGGCTAGCACTGCACAACTTCGGCTGAGCAGCCCATCCCGAGGCACCCGGGCTTTTGGTTTTCTTTTTTTCTTTTTTTTTTCTTTTTTTTTCTTTTTTTTTTTTCCTCCTCTCCTCTTAACTGGTATTATTCACACTCACGGAACATTCCAAATATCATACACAAACCTGCAGCACTGCAGAGCGTGAGCAAGCAAGACTTGTGACCTGCCCTTCTGCTGAGTTTACATTGTCACTAGATGAGTTTCTTGTGCATGATGTTTGGAAGTTAGACTTAGCTGCATTTGATAAGAGAAATTTGTGTTGTACCAGCATGCCTCGGAAAGAATTTATAATGCAAAAGGTTGTTGTTTATGTACTGACAAGATGCTCTATAACCCAAAGAAATGAAAGGACAGCAGCCTGTACAGCCCAGTTATTGATTTGTTCAGATGTTTCAATGCTACATTACACAATAAAACAGAGATTTTCTTAAAAGTTTAAATTATTTTTATGAGTTGGCTGTGGAGCGTGTGTGACAGTGCTTGCTGGGGGAGAGACTGTGTCTGTGTGCTGGGGAAATGCCTGCAGAGCTGGAGCTCGAGCTGCACGATTCCTGACAGTTTTGGCAGTGAGTGCGGGGCAGCTCTGCCCTCCTCCGTACACCTTTGCCCTCCTCCGTACACCTTTGCCCTCCTCAGCAGCTTTCACAACGGAGCCTTCTGGCTCAGTTTTCAGCATCGGCAGCTTAGTTCTCACCTGTTGTATTTTACCGATGCAATTCCCCGCATGGCACAGCAGCACAGCAGCGGCGGCAGCCTGCGGTCAGTCGGCTCCTCTCGGAGCCGGGGGACAGCGGCGGCTGCCGGGCCGCCCGCCAGGGGCTCGTGCCCGCGGCTGTGCTCAGGCTCCGCGCTGTGCCGTGCCCGCAGCCTGCTCGCGTTCCCGCTGTCAGCGGGGCGGCTGTTCCCAGCCCGGGGGAGCCCCGGGACACCCGGCCCAGCCCAGCCCGGCCNCGGTGGCGGCGGCGCGGGCGGGCGGCGCGCCGGGCCCCATGGCCTCCTGCTCCAGCATCGACATCGAGGACGCCACCCAGCACCTGCGGGCAGGGCCGGGGTCCCGCTCGGCGCTGCCCGCGGAGCCCGCGGCGCGGAGCGGCCGGTGAGGAGGGCAGCCCCCGGCCCGGGAGGGGCTCTTGGCGCTGGGCAGAGCCAGAGCAGGCCGGGCCCAGCTCGGGGCTCCGTTCAGCCGAGAGGCGCTGCTGCTGGGGCTGAGCAGCACCGACCTCCGCGCCACGAGCGTGCCCCTTCCCAGGAGCACTCGCAGTGTTTCCCGGGCCTCTCTCTGGGCTGAGTGCAAGGGGCTGCCAGGCTGCTCTGAGATCAGTGCCGGATTCCCCCTTTGCAGGAACTTTTCACTCTCTTTATTTGTATGTGAAATGGGAGCACCGGTATCTCTCCTAAAGTGGTTGTGAGTTTTCTCCCTGTGCTCTGAGCTGTTATACTTCCCTGCTCAGCGTTCAGGGGGCTCCCTCCTGCCTGTAAGAGGATCAGCAGCGGGCTCAGGATCAGCTGGATAGCATTCCCACTCTCCTGGAGCTTCGGCTCTCTCTCATCTCCCTTGTTGAACCTGCCCTGGTGTTTCAGTCAAATGTGGTGAGGTAACACTCTGAAGGAGACTGAGACATGAATGCTTTGCAAAAATACCCTAGCCTCTGGGTAGAAGACAGAATTATGCCCCTCTTGTGCTCCTTTCAAGGGAAAGGCAGGACAGGAATAATGTAACTTCAAAATGTCCTGGGACTCAGCAGGAATGTGTTACCCCCAAAGCAGCTGCCATGTGTGCTGCCTTTGGCTTGGCCAAAAGGAAGAGAGGTTGGGTGTGGGATTGTTGTGAAGGGCTGCAGAGGCCCATGAGGTGGTGGACTAAACCTACAGGAAGGCAGCTTCATTAGCTCTGCTAGCCTTAGAGAATCTTCTCATTAATTGGAATAGTTTCTGTGGCTTCTGGAGGGCTAGCACGTTCCTGAATTCTAATTCTTACAAGAAAAATACATTTTTTGTTTGTAGTGCAGCACTGTACGTGAAGATTGAAAGGAGAACTCAGTGCAGGGATGGGGAACACTCATTTCACAAGCAGTTTCTGAACTGAAAGGATATGTTGTGGTTGAGAAATGGTTGGAGTGTTGCTCAAGGTGACTTGACTTTCTCCTGAAGCAGCTTCTCCTGCTGGTTGAAGTCAAGGAATTATTGACAGAGTATGGCTTATTTCTTTCATTCTTCTTTCCTGTTCATTCTCTTTTTACCTTCTCTGTCAGCTCCAGTGCACAAGAAGGCATTTGAGAGGAGAAGGAGAAAGTGGGCAGGAAGTTCACAGAGGGAACCTGTGCTGATTCTTAGCAAAAATCACTGCTTGGGTAACAGCAAATAAACTTGAAAAGATGGACATAATAAGGGGAAGAAGAAGAGTGCATATTTTAGCTGAAAGTCTCCTGTTAGGATGCCAGGGAAGAGGAACAGGGGAGCCTTCAAGGTTTGCAGTTCCAGGTGCAGGTAGCTGTGAGCAATGTTGTGTTCCTCTAGGTCCTGTCCAGGCAGGTGACAAGAAACTCTCCCTGCTCTAAAGAGTTTACAACTGCCACAAGACTCTTTTAATTCTGCTGGTCTTGGTGATTGTGAGAAGGTAATCCACTACCCAGTCTGTCTCTCTTGACACAGTTTCTCCCAGTTTTGGCAGACTTCATCCCATGCTTCAGTAGCTGTTGCCAAAGCATGGACCTGCCTGCTGGGCTGTGGGGACAGGCTGTCAGTGCCTCTGTGCTGAGGAGGAGCATCCCTGCTGGTGGTGGGCAGGATCCTTCCATGCATGCAGAGATCTCTGCTGCTAACCAGGTGTTACGTGGGCTCACCCTGCTCATGGTGTATCAGGGCAGTGTTCTGTTCAGTACAGGCTGCATCTCCTGGTGCAGCTGGTGGGGGGAGCAGGAAGAGTTCAGTGTCTCAGCTCTGGCTTCTCCTGCTCTTTGAAAAGGTAATGAATACAAACACCCTTCTTTCCCTTTGAGACCTCGATCTACCAGTCTGGCTTAACCTTTTGGTTAGTTCATGTCCTTACTAAATAGAGCCTCTTCCCTTCCTTTCTGCCTCCAGGATTGTGCACAGACAACCCCTGTGCTTGTCTGGCTTCCACTAACACAGGCTCAGCTATGCCCATTCCTGAGCTTGGGTGTGCTGTTGTTGAGCCCAGCAGCCTCTGGGGAGTGTTTCCTCCTTCCCTTTTCCCATGGAGCAAACATCACTGTCCTGCTGTCTGTAAAAGAGCAGCAGTACTTACATGAGACTTTGCTGTGGCTGCAAAAGGGCAAAGCACATATCATCTTTCTCTGGGAGACTGGATGCTTTTTCTGTAGGGAATATTTTCCTGCCTTTGGTCACAAAGGATCAAGTGCTGTCAGTGGAAGTAGCTGGACAAGCACCCACCATGTGCTGTAGGAATAAGGGGCACATCTTAATCCTGTGACAGCAAGCACAGCACCAGTGGGAGGTGCTGGATCACATTCCCTTGCCTGAATTTCCTTGTGCTGTGTGAGTGCTGCTGCTTTTTCTTCATGCAGTGCAGGTACACTGAGGTGAGTGCCCAGATTGTCCCTGCATCGGGGTCCCCTGTCACTGCACATTTCTGTGTCCATAATGACTCTTCATAAACAGACCAGCTTAAAATACCCTTCTGGCAAATGAATAATTGTGGTTGTTTTGGGCAGCAGCACTCACCCGGAGCTGTTGAAGCCTAGTCAGTAGCAGAAAGGTTGTCTTACTTTGGAAGGATCTGCCTCTTGCCCACAGACTTACTTACTTACTTACTTACTTACTTACAAGGCTCTGCCTCTTGCCCACATTTATGCTTGGGCTTGTTACATGTGCCAGTGATGGGGAGCTTCTGGTCCTGGGAGCAGCCATTTTGCAAGAGCTCAGCAGCAGTTGTTACCTGGCAACAGTATACGAAATTTCGGGTTTCAAACCAGTGAAAATTTCCAGCGAGGATTCGCTGAGGCAGGCGGCTTTTCCTTGGTGGGCTGATGTGGGGGTGCAGATGGGGAGGGCATTGTTCTCCACTGGGGCTTGTCAAATATTTGCCTTGCTAGTGAAGAAGAGTCTCCTTCACCCCCTGTTATGTCTGTCCCCTCCTAAAGCCTTCAGAAGGCATGGAAGCCACCAAGCAGCTTCTGCTAGGCCAGATGTGCAAAGTCAGGGCATGCACACTCTTCAAAGCACAGCTGGGCCTCTGCACAAATGGCTGCTTTACACAAAATTTGAGTGCTATAAACTTCTCTGATTGTTTAACCAAGGGAAAAATATGGGAATCCCAAACGCAGAGCTGCAGTGTTTCCTAGGAAAATTACTTAAACACCTGGACTTGAAGGTCTCACGGTCAGAAGCTGGTTTTGAAAGTAACAAATGTGTTGTTTCCAGCCAGCCCCAAATGTTGCAGCTGATCCCTGCGCTGCTGGACTTCAGAGGTCTCTCTGCAGGCCTGAGGGTTAGAAGTACATTGTCAAGAATCTTTTGGTCTGCCACTTGATTCAGTAAACCTGAATTACCAGCTTAGTCTTTCTGCTCTAAAGCTATTTGCTCCTTGAGCCTGGTTAATTTCCTTGAAAAATGTTCTTTGGAGTTTCTCTGATTTGCTTGTGAAGTAAAGAGAACTGTTTCACTCAGATGTGTGGAGGTGAGTTTGTCATCACACGGGAGGTCTCTTACACATCCTTTTTGTACAAGACTTCTCCCAACCAATTCAGCATATTCTACCTGACAGACCAATAGAGGCTGACAAAAAGCACCTGGAGGGGGTGTATTTCACCCAGTGCTATTTCTTTGAAATGCATGTTGGGCACAGCTGGTTGTGCTTTTCCTCAGGTTCGGTGAATGAGAACCAGAGACCGTCGAATTCGTATAACGGGGACCTGAATGGGCTGCTGGTGCCTGATCCCCTTGGGAGTGGAGATGGACCTGCTTTGGCCAAGCCAGTGCATCGCAGCATCTCCCTAGGAGCCCTGCAGGAGAAGCAAGTCATGTAAGTTTTGTCAAAGAAATGCTGAGAGTCAATAGAAAACGGCTCAAATTCGGTTCTCTGGAGCGTGGACGTGCATGCTGGGTGTCTGACAATGGGTTTTATGTTCAGTTCAGGTGGCAGTTGTGAGCCAGTGTGAGCTCTTGGTTAGAGCTTTTGTAGCTTTTGTGAGGCTGATGCATGGAGTCTGCCATCCTTGCAGTTCAGGAACTGAAGAATATCTGCAGAGTTGTTCAGAGAAGGGAAACAGGACTTACATGATGAAACTTGCAGGTCAGAGTGAATGTAAATCATGAGGTCTCTGGCTGAAACTTGTGGCTTCCCTGTAGATGTCAGCAGGACTCCTTCAGGGACCCAAGTCACCTGAGGTGCTGCAGAGCTCATGGAAGTAGCTTCTGCTTGCGTTCTCTGGTCATGGTTTTGAAAGAGAGTGCCATG